TAGGCTTCCCAGAGAGGTGGTGCTCTCACCTTCCCTGGAAATCTTCAAGAGGAGACTGGATAGGCACCTGGCTGAGGTCTTATGACCCCTCCCACCCCCAGTGCTCCTTCCTGCCCATGGCAGGGGGTCGGACTAGATGATCTGTCTAGGTCCCTTCCGACTCATTGATTCTATGATCTATGATTCTATGATTTGCTTTTGACAAAACCATGGTGATTCCTCCCCAGCAAGTCATGTTCATCCATGTGCTGAACAATTCTTTATTTATTATTGTTTCTACCAGTCTTCCAGGAACTGAAGTTAGATTCATTGGTCTGTAGTTTCCTGGGTCCCCTCTAGAGCCCTTTTTTAAATACTGGATTCACATTCACGACCCTTCACATTGGCAACTATTCCTCTGATAGTGAGGATGTCTTTAGCGATAGGTTATAATTAAGAGTTTGACAATTTCCAATTTGAGCTCCTTCCAGACTCTATGATGAATGCCATTAGGTTCTGGCGATTTCCTACTGTTTCATGTATCAATTTTCTCTACCTCATCAACTAAAATCTCAATTTGGGTCAGCTCCACAGACTTGTACCTAGACAGAAGTGGATTTGGTAAGGAAATTGCCCTAACATCTTCCACAATGAAAACCAAATGCATTTAGTTTCTCAACAATAGCCACTTCATTCTTTAGGGCTCCTTTCAGGCCCAACTGACTCCCCAGCAGGTCTTTAGCTTCTAATGTACCATATTTGCTCAAATACAGGGTGAGGTTTCTCCCCCACAATCAGCATAAGGAAAAAAGCTCCTCGCATTATATTCACATACTTCATTAAATTCATTCTTGATCATTAGACCACTGTCAAAAGCAGCATATGCTCAGTAATGGAAACCAACTATGAAGCTCATTAAATGCAGCCAACCCTGAATGTAACTATAAAACACATGGCCCATATTGAGTAAACATGCCAATGAGAGCCATTTTCCCCCAAAATGTTATTAACAACACACTTATCACCCTCTGCTTACAAAGCTACACATATTGAGCTACCCATAAGGCTTCATAACACAGAAACAACTACATATCACACACATACATCTACTATATTAAACCCTTAAGCAACATACATCAACTTCCCACAGAAAACAAACACTTACAGAAACATTTTTCTTCATACAGAACCCCATACCCTATTACCTTTCCCTTTGGCATCCATCGGGATCCCTAGCGCACTGATTTCTCTCTCTCTCTCATTTGAAGGCCCAACTTCTCCAAGTCCCTCCAGTTCCCCACTCCCATTATGGAGCTTTTTGATCAATTTAATTTACCCCCCATAGCTTATCTATACTCTGATGTATGTTTTAACACCCTTTCCATCAAAAGTCTACCTCTAACTACTACATTTATATCATCCATGTATAGGAAGCATTTACCCCCTCCCCCCGCAAATATCTTTACTCCACTTACGACCTTGTCTTTTCTTATTTTTGTGCTAATGGTTCCATACCACATACAAACAGTAGTGGTACCAGGAAGCACCCTTGTCTCACCCTTGTATAGATTTTAAAAGTCCAGCTTAGGTGCCCATTAATTTGGACTTGATTCTCTATACAATAACTTTATCCAATGTATACATTTCTCTGGGAATCCCATTTTTCCTAGCACCTCAAATATGTAATCATGATCCACTCTATTATATAAAGTTGTTTTCTTCATCCTCAAAGCCTGAGTCTTTGCTGTTAACTTATAGTCCATATTAAGAAGTATAACTGGCTTCCAGTTTTTCAGAAGTTCCTTCTCTGCTTTCTTCTCACCAGGCTGGCAGACTGACCCCTGGAACCACTTGCCAGCCAGGGCTGCTCCAACCCAGCTCAATGTGCTATGGTCCCAGGCATACATTCAAATGGAATGCCCAGAAGAAAAAAATCCAAAGCAATAAGTTCTGGAATTTATTCATGCACAGTAAGAGCATGCGTAGATGCACCCACTGCGCGCATCTACATAAGACACTAAGTAGCTGTAGCAACGAGCTATAGTGATGTAGCTTGTCACTACAGTGATGTAGTGTCAGTAGGCACAAACCATGACACCAATGCTACTGTGCAGTGGCTCATTGTTACAGCACAGTAGGGTTGGAAATGACCTGTACACCACCGGGACTGCATAGTAACAGCAGTTACTGCACAGTCATTTAGTACTTACTAAAGTGCTGTGCGGCTGGGGGGCTGGCCAGGGCACAAGGGTAACATTGCTAAAGCAGCTTGTGAAAGCAAGACCAAATGACTGTGAAGTGACCAGATTCGGGGCATATGTGGACACACCCAATAGGTACAAAAGTGCTACTTAAAAATGTGTTTGTAGAATACAGTACCTGTGCTAAAACTTGCAGGAGTTTCACAAAATGTAAAATGCATCAATTCTGAATGAACTAAATATGTAGGTACCTATAATAATTTGCCTATATCATAAATTATATTTATTTTAAGGTCTGTGTTTTCATATGTGTCCTTTACTTCCATGGGATCAGAGGGAGCATGGTCTGGCAGTAAGGAAGAGGGGAATGGACTACAGGGGGAAGATGTATGGGGGGACTACCTGGTCCCCCCCAGATTTTTTTTCCCTTGCTGTAGCAAGGCAAACCTCCAATAATTAGGCTTTATACCTGAAAAATTGTAAGAAAATTATTTTCCACTTATAGAATCTAATTATTGGAAGTTATTTTATAGTTGAGTAAATATGATACTTTTGCAAATTTTTATTGTAACCTTTTATGTCTCTAGCAAGTTTTTCCTCAAATTCTGTCTTAGCTTGTCTTATTATGGTTTTACATTTGATTTGCCAGTTTGTTCTCTTTTTTTATATTCCTCATTAGGACTTGATTTCCACTCTTTGAAAGAAGACTTTTTCTATTTATTACCACTGTATTTCTTCCATTAAACCATGATGGCTTTTTTTGATCTGCTTTTTATATTTTTGATTTGTGGTATGCATTTGCTCTGTGCCTCTTGTTACCACTGTTATCACTGATATACACTGGGCATATCTACATGTGCACACTTACTGTGTACTGCGCAATAACTGGAAATTTCTGCACAGTGCAGGCATGCATCTACATGTGTGCGCTCATACTGTGTAGTAACGATGGCGACTTACATCAATTTGGGGATAAATTTGCTACCTACATGATGCAGGTAACAAATTTACACCCGAGCACCTACTACACAGTAACACACGTGTAGATGCATTATTGTGCAGTAACACTGTGTGTATGGACTGATTTGGGATTAACTTCCAGTTTGGTCCCCACACAGTGTAACTGTGCTGTAACACCTGCATGGGTAGACGCCAGCTTAAAAACTGCGTACTGCACAGTAACTTACATGCAATTAATGCAACTGAATATACTCAGGCTCAATTTGAGCTGAAGTAAACTAATCCCAACATCATCTACATGTGCGTTTAAGCACAGTATTTTACTGCACTGTCAGATACCACTTGTATCTGACAGGACTATCTGTCAGAACAGTAAATTAGTGTACTGTGCCTTAATTTATTCACATGTGTAGACAGTGATGCTCTACTGTGCAGCAAATTATTCTGCTGCACAGGAAAGTGTCTTGTGTAGATGCACCCGTTTACTTTCTCTTTTAATATGTGAGGAAGTTGCAGAAATATTTTCCTTTCAATAAGGAGTCACCAATGTAGAAAAGTTAAGAAACATTACAATTTATGTGGTCCTGAAATTATAAGAGCTAGGGAATAGAGATTTCAGAAGTAATGCAAATGGCTAAACAAAAACCCAAGTAAAAAACAAAATCTTACAGAATGTTAAATTTACCTGTTCCAAGTAATGTAATGACAGGTTGATATATTTGGCTTCTGTCAGTAGCTGGCCTCCAACTCCAGTCTTCGCAACACGCTCTGAACCAGCCAAGTCAACTAAATGTAGCTTGGAGCGTCGGACAGTTGCAGATCCTGGCTCTTTGCTGGAGATGTGAATGGTGAAAATGCAGTGGGAACGAGTTGAGGCTTGATTCATTGGAGTCTGTGAAGAAAAGTATTATAAAAACAAATGTTACTAAATTTTGACTCAAAGAAGAATAAAAATAGGTACACTTTAACACCAGGACTGACAAATTTAGATTTGTCAAGAAAAGGGCTGCTTAGCCCCAGCCTGTGGGTCAGATCTGGCCCCCATGCCATGTCATCTGACCCACAGGGCATTCCAGGGGTCTGTGGAGAGCCCCATGGATCACAGCCCTGCATACTAGGTTGGGTGCACAGGCAGTGCAGGGCCCCATCTTGGCACACAGGGGCAGTGCAGGGCCCCTGGACCCTAAGCACAGTAAGTGGAAGTGGGAAGGGGCAGTGCACAGCCCCTGGAGCTCAGGCCCCATACATGGAACCAGGCAGAACTGGCATGGGGCCCCAGAGCTCTATCTCTGCATGTGGAACTGAGCGAAGGCAGCAGAGAGCCCCCACAGCACGAAACACACATGCAAGACCAAGCAAGGCCAGTGCAATGCCCTGTGTCCCAGATGCAGGCAGTAGCAGAGCCCTGAGGCCTGATCCCAGTGTGCCAGGTCTGCTCCAGCCCCAGGCCCCTAATCTGGCCTATTAGGCCAAAATGTTGAGTATCACTGGTCTAGAATGATTATAAACTGCTACAGTGACTCCACTGCAAAGAAAGGGCCAAGTTGTAAACTCTAGACTCCCATACATGAGCAGTTACACACATGACAATTTCTAGCAGCCTCAAGGGCGCTTAGGTAATTAGCTAGAAATAAGATATTTAAATTCTGACCCAAAATTTGTCACTGTATTAGAAGAAAGCAAATTTGAGAATCATTTATCATAGTCTCCAAAGGGTTTCATTAGGAGCCTAGTCATGATCCACCATGAGCTTATTCTAACTGAGAAGAGGCCATATGGTTATACAATTATTTGGAAGGCTAACAAACATAACGAATGCATCCTGATGGTAAGAACAATCACAGTTAAGCTTACTTTTAAAATGCTTCCTTTCATCAGAGTCTCTGGAATGTGAAAATTTCCAAAGCTTCAGAGACTACCCACTTTAATCTGATTTTTTTAGTATCCAGTCAGAGTCTACAGCAAGCTACTGATTAGAAAGGAGGTGAAGTCTTAAGAATCCTAGTAGAATTAGAATATATGAGCTTAGTCCTCATTATGAATAACATTATAATGGAAGACAATTTCTACCAGTGATTCAAAAAAAAAATCTGTGCAAAAACAGATAATTAAGAAAATTACTTGCATGCTTTCTAACTGTAGGGAGTTGATGAATGAAAGCAAGGACTAAAACCTCAAACTAAGAGAATCCTTTAGAAACCATTACATGGAAAGAACTGTTGAAAAATATTAGCCGCTATTTATTTTCATTTAATGTTGTGGTACTATAAGCCATGATCAGAGGGCTAAAACTTTTGAAATATATTTCCTTTTAACTACTATATCCCAAATCTAGTTTGGTAAACCAGGTGTCTAAAGGGACTCAGACAGAATTCAGGAGTTATGTAAAAAAAAATTAATCCAGAATATTCCTGTTCCAGTGGCCACAAAACCAATGTAGCAAATACATTTTGGATTGAAATGGCATATCTAAGCCACTTCTCACTACACCATGCTCACTCCATCCCAGTTCATGGCACTCTAGCAGATACAGAAAAACTGTACTGTAGCCACTATTAAAGCAGTGTTGGGCAATGCCAATAAACGTGCCCAAGACAGAGCCTCACAGCAGTGAAGGACACGACCTGGGCATATACCAAACAACAGCTGCTTTATACTTTGGGGGCTGCAGCCTGCCTGGAACAGATGTACTTAACTGCAATAGCTCCCTAGCACAGTTGGAGGCAGTATACACATGCCCTCAAATACCCTGTAGCTGCATCTATACTTTACTGAAGAGCTTTACTGCACTTTCCTGAAGAGTTGACTAATCAGCTCCACAGTAAAGCTTTACTGTCTACATGTGTGCCAGTATTAGTGTGCAGTAAATTAATTAACTCCACTGTAAGATGGGGACAATACTATCTTAGGGTGCAGTTACTTATTCCGTTGAAACATGTGTAGACAGTGACAGGGGCTGGCTGGGGCACAAGGGTGATAATGTGAGGGCTACCTGCTGAACAACTCTGCACTTCAGTAGTCCCATGCCCCTCCACTACCTGATACCGTCACCTGGAGCCCGGGGATGACTCTTCAAGCCTGCTGCCAGCCCAGGGCTGCTCTGGTCCAGCAAAAATTGCTGCTGATCTGGGCATGTGCAGATGTTGCACTCAGGAGCAGTTAAGTCCAGTACAAACTATGCCAGAGTTTATTTCATTGCCTTAACTGTATGTGTAGGTGCACCCTCTATGTCTAAACATAGGGTTTTGTGCATGCACAGAAGCACCCCAGCCTAATCAGCTAGAGGCCAAGGTCTATTGAGCACCAGATATGAGATGGAGTGGTCTCTAAACTTCACCTAAGTCCCAAGGGAGGCCTAATTTGGTAGATGTGCTCTGGGCAGAAACTGAGGGTACTGAGCTGATTAATAAACACAGCAGCCATAGTCACTTTCTCTCATAAACACATCTCTTGATGGCACCTGACTTCTGTATAATATCCAAGTAGTTAAAGCACTCACCCAGGAAATGAGGACTATGGATTTTAGGCCCTCCTCAGCCTGAGGAAATTCAATCCACAACTCCCACCTCCTGGGAGAGTGCTTTAATAACCAGGATACGGAATACTGGGCAGCTTCCAACTCCTGCTGAAGGTGGGCCACAGTTTAACCCTGCTCCCAGAACTGTTTATGCATTTTACATCAGATAGTCATTGGATACAAAACAGAGATCTTGAGATCAGGGAATTCCCCATCCCAGCTAAGTTGCCTAATCACTAGACTGTTCTCTTACCAGCCGCATGATTTTTGCATTCTTGATTTTGGTCTCAAGTGGGGAAGGCACCAAAGCCAAGAACAAAATGCCCAGAAAGGGGCAAGAATTCAACTACAATCCTGTACTGCATTTACTGTTTCCTATTAGGGCAAAGACACGGTCAGGGTGAGTACAAACTTAACACTAAGACCAATCTAAACGCAGTTTAAACCACAAGTGTCTGGATGCGCTTGCCATCTTACAGTGGTTTAAACCTCCTAAACTGTTTCAGAAGTATACCTGGATAATAAAGCACTATTTTGAACTGGTTCTGTGTGAACCAGTTCAGTGTGTTATGTGTGGATACAAAGCTTTCTATGACTGGCATCTGGTCGAACATTCAGGCATCCCACACTGCTCTGTTCCTTCCCTCTTCCCCACCCCAACTCTCACCTGGTTACTGGCTGCCCTGGTATGCAACCAGAACTCTACTGTCTCAACCTCTATTGCCTGTACTTGATTGCAGTGTCCGTTACTGGGGTCAGCTCCCTGCTGCTTTTAAAGAGCTGGTCAATTTCCTTTCATTGGCAGTGATCGACCAGGGTTCTGTGCATCTTAGACTTATGTGAGATGGAAAGTGGCCAGGTCAGTGGGAGGAGTATCTAGACCCCTATTTCTGTGGGCCTGGGAGCTTGGGGCCCAGAGGGCAGCTCTCTGCCACTTTTAAAGAGCTGTCACTTTTCTTCCATTGGAGGCAGTGGAGTGCTTGGACAGCCCCCAGGAGCCTCCAAATCAGCCTGGGATGCACCAAACCCTGGCTCAACTTCCAGGAACTGAAGTAAACTGATGAGTGGATTAGGGGAAAGGGTTATTTAAAAGTCACAAAAGCTATGGAGGCCCTTGAACATTCAGGTCCCAGGTACTCCAAAACAGGGATCCACACAGTCCCCTCAAGCCTGCAGGGTACCATCACAGAGATTTACTATAATTACTCAAATACAAGACGAAGTTTTTTCCCTGCAAATGAGCATGGTGGAAAATAGCCACTTACCTTACATTTGTATACAAGGAAACCTCATGGGGTGTGTGTAGATGAAATGGGACCCTAAATTGAAGCAGTGGGTTTTTAAAAACACCACTTCAATTTAAGGTGAAGTAAATCCCCATGTTGTGTACACCTGTGTCTTACTTGCCTCTCCGGCAGCAGGGAGGGGAGGGGAGCTGCCAGTGGGAGGAGTGCTCCCTGGCCTGCAGTGGGGCAGCGGTGGCTGGTGTTTTCCCCCACAGCAGCAGTAGGGCCCCCCCCAAGACAGCACCCACCCGCAGGCACCCAGCTCAGGCGGTCCCAGGGATCACTGCAACCACTGAGGGATGGACCGGGTCCTTATGCAGCTCATGCAGGCAGGAAGGCTCCAGGGGGGAAAAAAAATAAAGATCAGGCTCGCTGCTATTTTTTTTTTCCTTTGGTGGAGCCCACCTTCCTGGGCTGCTGCCAGGCTGCCTTCACAGGGATGCCTGCACAGTCCCTGAGCTGCATGGAGCCCAGTGCTTCACTCCACAGCTGTAGGGCAGCAAACTAAAACTCCTCAGAGGTGTCCTAGTTTGCTGCGCCCCAAAGTCATTTAAGGCGCATTACACCACCAAATGTGCTACAGCGGCTGGAATTAATGCACAATACACCACCAATGCGTGCAAACACCAACACCATTAAAGCGGTGCAAAAGCATTTAACCTGCTTTAAAGTGTCATGCACACATGCTCATGAAATACCTTTGAACTGCTCCTAAAGCACCGTGTGCTCAGTAATGAAACCATGTATAAATTTTGTTAAATGCAACAAACACTGAGCACAACTATAAAATACTTAGCCCATATTGAATAAACATGCTGATGGGAACCTACCTTTTTTTTTGCAAAAATATTTAGTTCAATATATATAAATAAATATATATAACTGTACCATCTACACTCCAACACAATGGGAAACTACCATGAGAATAGGTTAGTATTGCGTATCTGAATAAAATACATAGTAGTGCCCATTAAGCACACTCCCTCTCAGCACAAACTCATTTTCAAGTCATAGTAAAACACATTACATACATTTCAACTTCCTCTTCATTTCCACAGCTGAGCTTTATCTTTGTTTCCCATTTCCATG